AGCAATTAGAGCGAGATCCACTTTTTGAGGAATATGAGTCAAAGCAATAACAAGAATATTTCTAGTAGACCCTCTTTCACAATCCCTGGAGAGATAGTTCACGAATAGACCGAGGGATAAGTAATTCGACTCATTCACATTCAGATCATGAATGTTTGGAATCCATATTATGCAAGGAGACATTGCTTTTGCTAATTCGAATTGAAGGGTGATAGAAAATTGGTCTATTTCCGGCATCATATTCGTAGTTAGCGCATTCATCATAGTTAGCAGCTCCAGCTCCGTATCAAGGTCACGATCGATATCGTCACTAGCGTCAATATCGTCACTAGCATCAATATCGTCACTAGCATCAATATAGTCACTAGCATCAATAAGAGAACCTTTAGGCTTGTTATCCAGGAACTAATTCAGAAATACCGTAATAAAAGGAACATAGTAGTTTGTCACTAGGTACTTGACCAAATAGGATCGTCCTATTCCTATAGAACCTATCACTAAAATACCTCTAGAGGAGGATAGGATCAGACTAAGCGGAGCGAAAAGGGTTTTCTATGAGATGGGAAATGAAAATTATTAGCCCTACACGAGGTTTGTGAATAAGTGATTGTCTGATAATGAGTAAGAAATACTCGTCTTTCTGCTAAACAAGATGTATTGAACTCAGAATTCATTAGATACTTTTTATGAATGTCAACAAAGTATCTTAAGTAAATTGCTCCCGGTTGTTCAATCAGTTGATAACCAGAGTCATTCTTTGATAAATGATCACTATAAGTCAGACTCAATAAAATTTAATCAATCCTTTTTTCTGTCGTTAAAGTGGAGAACTGAACCAAGAATTCTCTTTCTTCATCATCAATCGAATCACTGCATGCGACCCAGGATTCGATTTTATCATCAATCCAATCACCGTTCACCCTTTTTCTTTTTCTTATCAATGAATAGATCTCTTTACTTGTATGACTTAGATGTCTCGTATTTCTCGAAAAAGTGATTCGATTAATGGGATTTGGTATGATACTTATGATATCGATGACATCGATGAGATTAATATTCAAATTTTTTTTCTTAGAACGTATTGATTTGAACCCATAAGTGGGACCGAGACCACCACCCAATAGCATGTTGTCGCCAGAAGCAGAACCCTGCATTTCTTCTAGGGAATCTCCTAATTGTTCTAAAGCAACCAAAAAGATATTCTTTAACCAGAAGGAATTCGGTTCCGATGTAGGATACTATCCAGAAGTTTTCGCAACTCAATCATGTATGATGGAATCATCAAAGATTTTACCTTTTCGAACTCTGTCTGTAACTCACTAGAGGCTCGGAAAACAAATAGAAGATGTGTACGAATGAGATATCCAACAACAAGAAGAAGGAAAAGGATTGAATAGAAGAACTCCCGAACATTTGGCGATGCCAGATGTGTCCATATCAATGGTGACTCATTATTTCGATGAATCATTTCTTCGGGCAGAAGAAGATTATGTAAACACTTACTCGAAATCTCACTTATCAGATTCCATTGTGGAAGACACAATTTTTCTGAAGAATTCGCCATGATATACCTGATCCGTGTCTAATATCATGAAGAATAGATAAAAAAATTTGACTGCTACTTAGTATCGGTAATAGGTATGAAAAAGTATCTAAAAATAGAAAATTTAGATATTTGTACCCTGTCGAAGTAAGGAACCACGACATATATGTTTGGAATAGATTCCAGTTTGAGAGAGTTGAAAAAGCACTATCTCGTTGAAAGGTTCTATACATCTGCCCTTTCTCAACGCATTTCTTTAGACAAAGACTCCGTGTTTTCCTCTTTTCCGATAGTAAATATTTCTTAGAACATGTGGAGTGTAAATAAAACCCATGTTTGAATTGAAATTGAGATACTGATGCAAGTTCTGATTTTCTGAATCAGTAGATTCATATCGAAAAGAGGTTGACAATAAGTTCTTTCAAAATGGACTATTTATCCCTCCGTTAGAGGTGTTCCAGAAATGTCTGCGATCGAGTAAATAGTTCTACGAACTAATAGATCGGATCGAATTGGAAAATCGTTAGGTATAAATATGTTAGATACCTGTGACTCGATTGGTGAAGTAGTATCTCTCTCCAAAAAAGCATGTTTTTTTTTACCGACACACAAAGAAAATATTTTGTTGTGAATGAACAAGATATTGAGGAATTGTCTATACGTAAAATCATAATTATTGATACGGGCCTTTTCCATATAAAACGGAATCTTTTGTTACAATAGAAGCAAAAGTGATGTGGATTATTCAAGAATCAAAGTGGATTTGCTTTATAAAAAGAAGATATCAATGAACTTCTATGAAATGGTTTTACGGGATTCAACCAATTGTTTTGATCGTGGGACATCATTAAGAAATAGGAATCCGTGTTATCAAAGGATTTCCCGCGATTATTTCTGGTATGGAATGAGTTAATCATCCACTTTGGTATCTTTTTGAACAAAAATGGTGATATTGTTCCTCCATTGATCAAGAATTTCGATTTTTGGAAAGTATCATGATCATCCAATAAGAAGGCTTTCCATTTTTCAAATGAATGGTTTGAAGACCTATTGATTCTATCAACGGATTATAGAGTTGATCATTCGGGCCTTTCAATTCATAAATGCGGATCTTGGACCTATTATTGGGGATATTCCCGAAACTCACAAAGAAAAAAGGAAGTGAGTTAGACAAAAAGAGAAGCAACTTGGACAAAAAGAAATGATGTGACTTAGACAAATCGTTTTTGTCAATAATCTCCGACCAATCAATCGAATATTGATTAATACGTAATCGACAGAACACTACTTGAAAATGGCTCTTCTGCTTAGAAACGAAACGTTCCAAATGTTCCTTGAAATTCTTGCTCCGATTGAACCAATTGTATTTATATGCATCAGGATCCCGATTCATGAATCTCTCGGTTCGAGAAATCAAAATAAGAGGATCGAACCATTTCTTCTGACTCTTTTTCAAACTCGATAAATGTTGGTTGATCGTATATTTCCTTATAGTTCTATGATTCAAAGTATCGTTTCCTATTTGATCCCTTTGAATTCCATGAAGCTGCGATCAGATCTATTCATTAAAAAGAATCGATTCAATACATTTCTGGAGATCCGAACCCACTTTTTTCGGATCCTTCGATAAAAAGATTTATTCTCTTCATAAAAAATAGGAGATAGAACCAACAAAGATTTATTTTTTGATTCATCCCTGGAGTTGAATACCTCATTCAAGAATTGTTTTTGATCCAATCCGCAGGAATCAATAGAAAAGGCAAATCCCTTATGATACACCAGATCCGGCTCGGTTATTGATAGAGTGAATAGATCTGCCATTTCTTGAAATTTCGGATTCAAAATTGTGGTGTAATGTGTATCCCCCCTGTTTCGGTCATGGAATAGATGAAATAAGTAAAAAAAAAATGAATTTTTGTTCAAGAATGAAATCTTATTGGAACTGTCCATATCCCGTTCATCCTTCGGAACCATATCACATCCCGGATACGATGAAACAGGATGAATTGAGACGGTATTTTGTAAATACTTAATTATCTTGAATATATTAGCCATTTCTTTATTTTTCGATCGCCTAGAAGGGGCAAAAGAAACATCTTGTTGTTTCTTCAACAATTGCAGATCTCTAGTGGACCTCTCAGTAGGATTTGAACCCAGATGAAGTTTGACCATATGCCCAAGAAAAAAATAACAAATAGATCTTGTAGGATTCTCAAGAAGTTCTTCGATTTCAACCGTAAGTAGATGAATAATCATCTGCTTCTGGCGTTCTGTGAATAGCCGAGGCATTGAGGAATATCCAAAAGGCATTTCGAGAATCGGTTGGATTCTATCTCTGTTCTTTCCGTTTGAAGAAAGGAAGGATCCCGAAGAATCGATCTTTCTTTTAGTTGTTGAGTCTCTCTTTTATTGAGATTATAAGCAAATTATAAATTCGGGTTAATTTTTCTAAAATTACTAATTTACATGATTCAAGAATAGCTCCATTGAATAACAAAATAATAAATCTTCTTATAGAAAAAACTTTCTAGGAAGTCACTCTGATTATCTCAAGACTACTCAAAGTTAAACATGCTTAATAGTGAAATATCTTAATCTATGAGCTCTTCAAAAGAAAACTGCACTACCTTAGCTTGTTGATATAAATGGTACCCCGTACATCAAAATTTTTAAGCAAAGATATGTATCACAACACAAGTCACTCAAATTCTTATGCAACCCTGGCCTATTCACATCAAACATGGCTATATGGGTCACACTCATCGCCAATTAATTAATGTCTACAATAGGTGGCCAAAATATCATCACATAGAAATTTGACTCAATCATGTAGCAAAAGACCAACTTTAACCTATAATACGTCATACCTAGCCCAAAGTCTTTCAACAACATCATAAGATACAACATGATATATATTCAACTTATATAGAAGAATAAAAAACCGCAAATTAAATAGTACAGACAAGTATATGATAGATGGTGCTTAACTTTTATTTTCCCTTTCAGAGCACGGTTTTTTTTCCATATCACAAAAAATTACCTTACGCCAAGTTACACAGGTTAAAAAAAAAAAATTGTTACCCACATGAACAAACAGCCGAAATAACAAGTTAGAAAGTGTCCTTTACCCTGGTAAATTGTACTACATTCTACATACTAGTAAGTAGTAATATTATGATGCACCACAAATAATTCACAGCAACATCTCTCCTTTCCAAGATGATTCAAAAAAACATGTTATCACACACTGAGATTCCTGCGCGCCAACACAACAACACTTCGACTTTGTCATTTATGTCATCCTCATTTATTGATTCCAACTATCCCACCTTCCATCCTCTCACTGTACAATACTTATTACTTACCATGTTACTATTTACTATACTGTACTACTACTCTTACACTCTTACTAGTGTGTTCGTTACTACTACCCTAAGTTTTTCCATTATATAAACTCAACACTATCACTTCATTCTCATTCACAAACAAAGAGAAAAACAAGAGAGTACTAAGAGAGAAAAAATGGGTAAGTGTTGCATTACATTGTTTTTGGTAACACTAGTTCTGGTGCAATCTGCCTTCGCGGCAAGAACTGCACCAGAACAAAAAACCAACACAAATATTGTGAACACTACTCATGATGACAACAAGAAAAGTGGTGTAACAGTACCAGCAACCGACGAGAAGAACTTTGTCTCGTTCGGAGGTGTTGGTGGTGGTGTTGGAGGTGTTGCTGGAGTTGTTGGTTTACCCGTTGGAGGTATCGGTGGCGGAGTTGGAGGGTTAGGTGGTGCTGGAGGTGTAGGAGGGTTGGGTGGTGCTGGTGGGCTAGGTGGGCTTGGTGGTGGTGCTGGTGGGCTTGGTGGAGGTGCTGGTGGGCTTGGTGGGCTTGGTGGTGGTGCTGGTGGACTTGGTGGGTTAGGTGGTGGTGCTGGTGGGCTTGGTGGGCTTGGTGGTGCTGGTGCTGGTGCTGGAACTGGTGGTGGTGCTGGTTGTGTTGGGGGTATTCCTTAAGATGATTATTGATGATCATGAGTAATTAATAGGTTGTTATAGTTTGATTAATTATGTTTTGAGCTTAATTAATACTTCTATGTTTTCATAACTCATAATTGTGTTTTAGTGGATGGGGTTAATTTTTGTTATAATAAGTTAGTTTAATTTGCATAAGAGCTAGGTTGTAAGAGACTCTCCTGTGAGTGTTGGAGGGATTGAGTTATATTGGTGTGTATGTTCGTTTATGCTTTTGTTGTTTATTATTATTCAATAAAAGTTTGTTATTCATCTTATTTTATCGTTACTAGCTATCACTTTCTTCGTGTCAATTTAGTTGTTGTTGGAATGAAGATTCATTTACGTTATTTAGATTTTAATTTCCAACATAAAACACCAAATTAATTAATTTTAACTAAATATATATGTATACTAACTCAGTAGCTCAATATGTGTCCAAAATAGTGATTTGAGGAACCCACGTACGTATATAGGGTTACAAATTAAATAATCTTTGAACCAGGCCAACATGTGAACAACATTCCAATATTATGTTTGCTAAGATAAAATTCCTACTACTTAAATCGATGACTATTGCCTTTAAAGTAGTGAGCTTTTTGTTACATGCAAAAACATTGTTACTCAAGTAATTCAATGTATGAGTGATTAAAAATGATATTAAAAAGTACTTAAGCTTATTAATTAAGTTAGTGTAGAATTACACCTTTTGTTTGAAGATAAATAATAAACAAAAAATTCATCTATGAACACACTTGGTAGATTAAGAGTTTTGTAATTTCTAGAATATACTAAACTGTACTTTTCATTCTCATTAAAATTTTAACATTACATATTAATATATTATTGAAGCACATGCATGTTGTCAATAAAAGGTCAGCCGTTTTAAAAAAAAAAAATCTTCAAGCTAGAAATGTTGTACATTTTCATTTCATGATATTATCATGAAATTATCATGTTGTACTAACCTTTTTAGTGATGATCGACGACATGCATGGCTCGTATTTAAAGCTTCAATAAGCCTTCAACTGACACCTCAATGACCTCATGTTCCCATAACAGCGTTGGTTGGGGACATTATAATATAATTAAATGGTGTATGTAAAATTTAGTTAGTGAATAATATTAATCATTTATTGGAAATTATGGTTCAAATAGTTATTTATAATTGGAAAACTTTGTGAGAAATATCCTTTAAAAAAGGTGACAGTTTTGAGATATTAAAACGTTTTAACTCTTTTTTGACCTAAATCTTTACTTGATACAGTATCTAACCATTAATTGCCATTTTTTAATTGACCATCATGTGCAAAGCACGTGCCTACATAAAAAATATCAATTTTCTCTATTGTCCTTCCTAATCATTATATCCGCCTTCTCGATCACTACCATTCAATCACCATATTCCTCAACATCATATAAAATAAAAGTTAGGTTAAAAAATCATGTTTCAAACTTGTTTATAGAGGAAGTAGAAGGGTCGGAATAGAAAGAAAGAGATATAATATATTGGGGTAGGCTAGGGTTAGTTGGTGGCTTGATCCAAAGAGGAGAAAGAATGAGGTGAAGAAGGAGAGAACTTCTAAGGGTAAGAGGAGGTCATGGGTAGAAGTAAGTGACATGGTGAGAAGAAGGTCAAAAGAGGGATCAATTGAGCAAAGGCTTAGGGGGTTTGCATGAGTAGTTATTTGGCCACAGTTGTGTGCGATGGCTGGAGGGTTGTGGTCTAGTAGTGACCAGGGTGGGATCATTGATGGTGAAATGGTACGTTAATGGTTAATAATTAAGACATGGTGATTGGGGGAAAAAATGAAAAATTGAAGTTTCGTGTCACTCACGTGGAGGTTATGGTGAGAAAATTAAGTCAATGGCCGGAATTCAAACTATGATCATGGGCCAAAAAGAAACCTGGCCTATAAGGTATCAACGTGTCAGTTTTAAATTTATCAAGATAAAATATTATTATTAATATTATTAATCAAAAGTTTCCGATTATAGAGAAAATGAAAAAAACAAGAACGTGCCTCACGCACATTGTTGGGAATCCCAAAACCACCAAACCAAGTGTAATACTCCGTATTTTTGAAACGTATTTTCTAATTAATTAATTAATTAATTAATATTTTCTAAAAAGCGTATCTTAGTAATTTATTTTACTATTTGAATTTTGGAGCCTAAATGATATTTGAATTTTGGCGCCAAATACATTTTAAAACTCAATAATTATTTTGGATTTTGGATAATATTTATTATCCATTTATTTTATTTTAAAAAATCGGATTATTTATATATTTCGGATATTTTAATTAAAGCAAAAACTATATTTTATTATTTAATTAATAAGGTCCGAAAATTCCTAATTATTGACTAAGATTTTCGGATTTTCCTAGTGTGGAAAATCTTATTTTCTAGGTTAATTTATTTAGTGAATAATTGGTATCTTTTTAATGAATTATTTTATACAATAAATATTATTTACACGATTATTTTTAATTGCTTAAATCTAGTAAAATAACTCTCTAAAATATACTAATAGGATCCGAAAATTTGAGCTATGGAAGCTCAATATTTTCGGCCCTCCTGGTCAAATTTTGGGTGATTTATTTTGGAAAATTGTATTTTTAATTATTTCCTTAAATTCTCTTATTTTCCTTAAATTTATTTCTCCATCTCCTAAATATTTGATCATCTTATTTTCCTACCTTATATCTTCCTTGATTATTCCCCAAGTAATCTCTTTTGCCATATTAATTTTCATGACAACACACTTTCCTTAATTCTATTATTCTTAATCACCTTAATAAAAACTTTCCATATTTCTTTCATTCTCTTCTCCAAGTAATTCCTTAATTCTTTGTACCATAATTCTTCCTCATTCTCCTACCATAATTCTTGCATGAGCTAGCCTATAAATACCCCCCTCATACCTCTCATATTCTTCACACCAAAAACTCAATTCTCGTCTTCTCTTTTACTCTTCTTTTCCCTCAACCTTTTCCTACTTTTCTTCTCCTCTTTTCTAAAAGAAAATCTACCCGTATATCTTTGGAGCTAATTTTTGGGCACTTTTGGTCAGTTTTGGCGTTTTAATATTTCACAAAAAAATTGTTCCTCTCGAAAAATCTTTGAGGTTAGGCTCAAGAATAACCCAATTCGGAGTTATATCAAAGGAGTTATGACCTCTGCAAGTTCTGCCTATTCTTTCCAACGCAAATTCAATTCTCTTTAATCCTATTCCTTTATTTTCTTCATGGTTAGTTTTCTAAAATATAAATATCTATTTCAAAGTAATAATTTTATATTAAAGTATTATTTTTAAAGAGTTTTATAGTCCATGCACATTAGATTTGGGTTTATGTCTAAAGATGTTGTGATAACCTTATGGTTATGTTTATTGCAAGGTGTATTCGTGATTGAACTTTGAAAGTGCGAAGTGTTGATTGATACTCGGAATCAAAGTACGTTTAGGTGGCTAGATACCTTCGAAAGTGATTGGTTTGAATAGCATGTTTTATATGATTTTATTGGTGATTTAACTAAATTGATTTGAATCATGATTTATGAAATAAAGTATGTTTGGAGGTATTGATTTTAATATTTGTTTTAATAAATGCATTTTTAAAGGATTGTTTATAATATCATGTTTAGAATGGTTTGAAATTATTTATTATGTTTAAAGGAATTTGGTTTTTTAAAAAAATATGTTGGATTCTTGTAAAGAGTTTTTAAAAAGGTTTTTCAAAGGAAGAGTTATTGATTTTGAAAATTTATTTATATGAGATTTAATTCTCAAATATTTATTAAAAGGTTGATTTTGAAAGCACGTTGAATTAAATAAAAAGGAATTTTGAATTAACCTATTGTAAAGGTTGATTTTATTCAAAAGAGGAATTTTATTGAATTATTTATTAAAGCTCTACAAGCATGTTTGATAAGTAATCCCACTATGCAGATTTGGTTGATAAAACTTTGGACTTTGTATGACCAAGTCTTTCCTCAAGAATAGCCTTGAAATATAAGGAGACTAGCTTGGGGGGTGTGCACACTTGGGTGAGGAATTGGTTTTATTGAATTGATTATTGAAATATTAAATTATTGGAATTGGTTTTATAAATCGTTTCATCGAAGTATTGAATTATTGAGAATTGGTTTTAAAACATGAGTTTTGGAATTCATTGGATTAATTATTGGAATTGGTTTTAAAAGCATGTTTGCAAATAAATTGAATTTACTTATCTTGCACTTATCGTACTTAGCATATTTTGTTAATCCGTATTTCCTATTTGTTGTTTTGGTTCGCCCTGTTTACTGTAATGGTAAGCAATGTTGACTATTTTCAGGTGGAGTCATGAATGAGCATATGGGAACCCCGGGATTTGCTTCACCTAGTTTAAGAATGTTTCTCTTGTCTTTATTTTGAGTACTCATAACAATGTTACTATTTTTATAAGTATTAATAAAAGAAAATTGAGTTTCCGCTGCAAGTTTTGTTATTAAGGTAAGTATTTTGAGTAGCCTTGCGTAATCACGCGACGGTAATACGCCTAAGTCTATCTCTACGATATAATTATATGTATTATACTAGTATTTCCGTATAGGGAGATTTGGGGGTGTTATACCAAGCCCCTTATTTTAATATATACCAGCTTAACTTAATTATAACTAGAATTTCGACGGGCTGTCGGCGATTAGAGTGGGTTAGCTTTCTCCTCGATCGCCGGCAAACCCCCCCTCCCAAATCAAGTACCACCAAGGGGTCAACAGTGGTTGTATCGCACCTAGATTTGAGTCTTTCCCTCGTAATTTTCGCGAACGATTCTCATGGTGGTGGTGCTCCGACCACTGCCTAGCTGCATCTCATCCCTTGTAGCTGATATGTTCATTTTATATAGAGATTTACCCCGTCCCTGGTCATATTTAGGAGTACTATTGGCTCTTTGGAGCCACTTTTATTACTAATATGCGTTTTCTAGTGTTTTCGTAGTTTTGGTACTATTTTATAGGAAATTGCAGATTTGGAGCATTTTCCCGGACTTATAATAAGTCACTACGAGCATTGGAGAATTATGACCATATTCCGTAGCCCAAGACCGCGTTGGAGTAATCAAACCGGTGATTAAGGGCTCGGTGAAGAAGAAGAGTTCGAGGCAATGGACCGTGTTTCAAGACCCAAGAGGAAATTCGGATTGGGCCAAGAAAATAGCCCAATTGAGATGTCCATGGTTTCCCGAAGAGCTCGCCCGACCGGGTAGGCCCTCGCCCTGAGGCGCGCCTGGCC